CAGAATGGACGCTGGCGTAGACACGCCCCAGCCATCTGGCACGGATGGTACTTCCATCAAGAGCCTATTTCTCAGGCCGGCGCCGCGGCTCACTAGGCTAATCCTCCGCCTAGCGGCGCCGGCACACCGGGTTCTAGTCCCGGTTGGGGCGCCGGATTCTGTCCAGGCCAGCTCTCTGCTGTGGCCAGGGAGTGCAGTGGAGGATGGCCCAGGTGCTTGGGCCCTGCACCCCATGGGAGACCAGGAGAAGTACCTGGCTCCTGCCATCGGATCAGCGCGGTGTGCCGGCCTCAGCGCGCTGGCCACAGCGGCCATTGGAGGGTGAACCAACAGCAAAAGGAAGACCTTTCTCTCTGTCTCTCTCTCTCACTGTCCACTCTGCCTGTCAAAAAAAAAAAAAAAAAAAAGCCTATTTCTCAGGCAGGGCCGCCGCCTGCAGTGCCGGCATCCCACGTGGGCGCCAGCTCGAGTCCTGGCTGCTCCACTTCCGATCCAGCTCTGCTGTGGCCTGGGAAAGCAGTAGAAGATGGCCCAAGTCCTTGGACCCCTGCACCCGCGTGGGAGACCTGGAGGAAGCTCCTGGCTCCTGATGGGCCCAGCTCTGGCTATTGTGGCCATTTGGGGAATGAACCAGCAGATGGAAGATCTCTCTCTCTCTCTCCCTCTCTCTCCCTTTCTCTCCCTCTCTCTCTGCCTCTCTGTAACTCTGCCTTTCAAATAGATAAATAAATAAATCTTTTTTAAAAAAAAGAGTATTTTTCTCAACCAACACATAGTTGATACAAACATTTTTGCACTAAACAACACAGCATCAAAACACACAAAGCAAAACCTGCAGGAAACAATAAACATGAATAGAAAGACAGTCTTGATGAGGAACTAGCAAGGCTCTTACTCCTCGGCAGGTCGGTAAACACCACCACCACCAACAGCAAGGACCCAGGGAATCTAAACTATAAACACGGCGAAGCTAGCCTGATGTATATATTTAATTCTATAACTTTAAATTAGAAATACACATTACTGGGCCGGCGCCGTGGCTCAATAGGCTAATCCTCCACCTTGCGGCGCCGGCACACCGGGTTCTAGTCCCGGTCGGGGCACCGGATTCTGTCCCGGTTGCCCCTCTTCCAGGCCAGCTCTCTGCTATGGCCAGGGAGTGCAGTGGAGGATGGCCCAGGTGCTTGGGCCCTGCACCCCATGGGAGACCAGGAAAAGCACCTGGCTCCTGCCATCGGATCAGCGCGGTGCGCCGGCTGCAGCGGCGGCCATTGGAGGGTGAACCAACGGCAAAGGAAGACCTTTCTCTCTGTCTCTCTCTCTCACTGTCCACTCTGCCTGTCAAAAAAAAAAAAAAAAAAAAGAAATACACATTACTTTCTAATACTTATAGAGCACTTATCCACAGAATAAATTATTCCCAAAATGTGGAGTGGACAAGTTCCCCAAGCTCTGCACTAAATGGAAAATAAGGAAAGTTGAAACAACAACGACAAAATATCGACTGCCTTGAAAATTTAAACTTTCCTAAACAACTCAGGTGAAGAGTAGAGTAAGTCACAGCTTCCGAATTCCCCCCAAAAATGAGAACACTGCACGTGAAAAAACACCTGGAGAAAGTCATAAGATGATTTAAAGCCTTAACTATTTTAGTTTCAAATAAAAAGCACAGAGAGTAAGTGGATCATGCATTTTGCTTATTCTTTGGGGAAAAAGAACAAACAAGCCCAAGATAAGAAGCCATTAATCAAGAAAAACCAAAATCCAGGAATATAGAATACAGGGAAAGCAGTGGAATTATCAAATCAATTCAAGCTTTCTTTGGCAAAACAAACAAAACACACACACACACACAAAACAAAAATATACAAAACATTAAAAAGTCAGGCTAGTTAGAACAAATCCCCCAAAAAGAAAAAAAACAAAAACAAAAACATAAGTACATAAAATGAGCAAGAACGGAGAGGAAGGAACCACAGATACAGAAGAAACGGGAAACCCACAAGACACGCAAATACGTGAATGCCTTAAAGACCAGGGGACAGAGATTTTCTAGGAAAAGACCGATTGTAGAAGACAGAAATCGGCCGGCGCCGTGGCTCAATAGGCTAATCCTCCACCTTGCGGCGCCGGCACACCGGGTTCTAGTCCCGGTCAGGGCGCCGGATTCTGTCCCGGTTGCCCCTCTTCCAGGCCAGCTCTCTGCTATGGCCAGGGAGTGCAGTGGAGGATGGCCCAGGTGCTTGGGCCCTGCACCCCATGGGAGACCAGGAAAAGCACCTGGATCCTGGCTCCTGCCATCGGATCAGCGCGGTGCGCCGGCTGCAGCGGCGGCCATTGGAGGGTGAACCAACGGCAAAGGAAGACCTTTCTCTCTCTCTCTCTCACTGTCCACTCTGCCTGTCAAAAAAAAAAAAAAAAAAAAGACAGAAATCAAAACTGACCACACCCGGGGAACAGATCGATCCGGCTGCCATTGAGCTGCCTCTACGGGGCCAGCTCCGAGCAGCCGCCGACGCTGGGGTTTCAAAGCTCCTCCAGCTCTGGGGGAAGAACCGGAGCCTGCCAGAGCGCAGAGGAGAAACATCCCGACCCCTACCGCAGCGCACAGGAGGGCAAAAAGCCACGCAAAACACGTGGCCAACAGTCCAGCCTTCTGCACTTGCTCCGCTTCCCAAGGCCGGAGAGCTGGGAGGGGCTGTGATGGAGGTGTCCCGGGGCTGTGGTTCCCGCCCAGGGCTCCCTCCCGGGGGGGCTGTAGCACTCATTTCCTTCTCGTGTATTCCACGCCGTCTTTGGGCACACGGCAGTTTGTCAAATCCTGGTGTTCAGGATCCCGGCTTGCTCTCCGGCTTTAACGGCCCAGGGGACGTCTACGTTGAGGCCTTAATCGCATCGGCAGAGTCCCTTCTGCCACGGGGCAGGACATTCAGGGGCAGCACGGCCAGGGTAAAGGGCACCGGGGTCATAACCCTGCCTGCCCCAGAGGATACCACGCCATGACAGAGCCAAGGCCAGGCTGCCCTGCTCTGGGAAAACCGGGTGACACAATGCATTAGGGGAAGATGGCAAAAGGAGAAAAAAAAGCACAATTGTTTTCAAAGCAGCTGCCAAGGCCTTTCTAAAATGCAACGTCGGCTCCGGAAATTTTGCAGCAACATCCCAAATCCTTCTCTCTCTTAGAATGAATGAATGAATGAATGAATGAAAAGGTGTGCGCCCCAAGAAAGCGTTGATGGCTTTACCAGGAGGCGAAACCAGAATCACTGTGTCAAACCACACATGACCAGTTTGCAGGTCTGCAGCACCTCTGGTTGGAAGCTCAGTGGCCATTCTCCCTCGTGCGTGGTGTGCGTTTGGAATGAAGGGTGCAGAAGCCTCACGCGAGGGCCCTGTCCCTCGGCGGCTGCGACACGGAACTGAATACGTGACAGGACGAAGTAAGGACACGGCAGGGCACCGCGGCGGAACCAGGCCCTGGGGAAGAGCGCAGAGCCCCGAGGTGGACGCAGGGGCTCCGAGAGCCCGCACACCCGGACGGGCAACGGCCAGACCGCAGAGAGAAGCAGACGTGGGAGCCGCAGCTCGCGCCTGCCCGATCGCCAGCCCGCAATCAGCGCTCCGTCCATAGCGGGCAGTGTCCCTCAGCATTTCCAGTGCCGCCCAGAAACTGAGCCCCTGCACAGCGCCGCGGGTGCCGGATGCCGCCGGGGTCTCCCAGGCCCTTCCCTCAGCTCAAAGCAGCCTTGCCCTGAGTTCATTAGAACTGAGTCCAGGGGGTGGTGCAGCCGGGCCTGCAGGGCGTCTGAACACTCGTCTCCCCTGTCCACGTCCCGTCTTGAGGGGTCTCTCTTCCAAGCTGGAAGCCACTGCCCCCTGCTGTGCCATCACCAAACTCCCCAAGAACGCGGTGTCGCTGGCTTCCCAGGCGGCTCAGGCACGCGGCAGACCACGCGGGAACTTGGACACGCGCTGAATGCCCCCTGCTCAGCCCCAGCCTCCCTGTACTACAGAAGCTTTGAGGAGCCTGGGAGTTCACTGACAGCTGTCCGCTGCTTCTCCACACCGGGCCATAAACCCCGCTCCCGTCCCCGCCCCAGGGTCGGCATGCTGGGCGAGCAGACCCAATTTGGGAGACCTATAGTGGTTCTTCCCGCCAGTACAGGACCAATCAAAGGGAAGCCAGTATGCCTTCCTGGACAGTCACACAGCACGTCCACCCTGACTCTGCCTGGCCTGGCTTCCCCGCACCAGTGGCCTCCAGCTGGGCTCATCTGAACCATAGCCTCTCCCTCTGCCCGGCTTTTGTCTCTGCAGAAACCACAAGAGGTGGCAGTGGCGGCGGTGGCAGCCGTGGCAGCTCCCCTTGCTGTCGCGGACTCGGGCTAGACAGCCCCTGCTGGGGTTCACCCTGGGGGGTATTGGTTTCCTCCCCAATACAGGCTGGGCATCGCAAACCCAGAAATCTGGAACACGACTGGTTCCGAGTGTTCAGCGTAACGCATACGACTGTGGTGTGCTGTCAGGTTCCAGCCATTAGCGGAGCATGGATTAGTCAACACAGTTTTCAAACAAATGGTTGACCGTTGAGAGGAGAACAAAGATTCACACTGAATACTCACATCAAAATAAACATCAGCCGCATCAAAGATTTAGACGCAAAAAACAAGGCTACAAAAACAGCAGAGAGAACGTCAGGGCGTTTGCACAGCGACCCCAGAAGGAAGACGAGACTGTGTGGTGTTTACGACCACTTCACGGATGATGACCTTCGGGTCCAGCAGCGAGCGAGGCAGCCAGGATTCGAACCCAAGCCCGACCCCCAGGCCACAGGGCAAGTGGAGTGGGTGGGCGGGAATGGAGGTGGCCACGTGGCCCACTCCAGGAACACGCCAAGGCTCTGTGACCTGGAAGCCCTTGAAGGGATCCAGCTAAGCTGGCGGGAGGCACCCGGGACGTGGCGGGAGGGCTCGGAGGTGGAGGGGCAGAGGGCAGCTCACCTGTTGGGGCTGTAGCCCAGGCTGTCCAGCATCTGTGCTTGGTCCAGGTCTCGCGGGAAGCCGTGCAGCACCCACCCTCTCTGCACGCTGTCCTGCCGGTCCAGGCGCTGGGTCAGTATCTTCATGATGATGCTGTCGGGGACTGCAGAGGAAGGAGGGCCGGTGAGCGCTCCGCCGGCCTCTGGCCCTGCCCATGGGCGTCCTAAGCTCTCTGGACCGCAGAACGAGCTGCAGAGGTGGGTTTAGGTGGAACGACTGTGGAGGTTTCCCAGGTGCCTCCTGCTCCCAGCAGCGATGACTGGGACCTGGCTGCCCACCCCGGGAAGTGCCCACCATGGGAAGTGCCCACCACAGGAAGTGCCCACCACGGGAAGTGCACCATGGGAAGTGCCCACCACGGGAAGTGCACCACGGGAAGTGCCCACCACGGGAAGTGTCTACCACAGGAAGTGCACCACGGGAAGTGTCCACCATGGGAAGTAACCTTGACCGTGACCATCCCCTGACTTTGACAGGATGCCACCCTCATTTGCAGCCAGGGTCATACCCAACTCTCCAGTGACGTGTGTACTATTTTTATCCTCTGTCTCTATCTAAAAAGAGAGAGATAAGGAGACACCCCCAGAGAATGAGACACCCCCCCCCAACACACAAACAGATCATCCATCTGTTGTTCATTCTCCAAACGGCTGCGACAGCCAGGAATCAGGACTCCATCCAGGGACCCAACTGGTTGAGCCTCCACCTGCTGCCTCCCAGGTGCATCTGCAGAGTAGCCAGGACTTGAACCAGGCACGCTGATGTGGGGTGCGGGGGTCCCTGAAGTCGGGGTTTAACAGGCTGCCCCACAACACGCACCCCTGGGGTCTCTTTCATAAGGACACTTGCCCAGCTGTGTGCACCACCCTCACGACCTCATCACGTCCTAACACCATCGTCTTGGGACTGAGGTTTCAGGGGCGAGTTTCGGGGGTGCACACGCTCAGGCCATAGCCCCCCAGTCAATCCTGGTTTTGCAGCAGACATGTGGAAGGGAAGCACCCAGGGCCCCTGCTGAAGTTTTCATTTTCCTCTGATACTTTGGGGTCCACTAACAAGCCCCGCCCCCCATCTCCCCTGCCCCAGCCCCTCATTGGCGTGTGGAACCGAGTCTGTATCGGGAGCCACGGAGTCATTCGGAAAAGGTGGCGAGAAGCCCGCTGTTGACATTGCCACCGTCAACGTCTCCTGCAACCCACACCTCTTCCCAGACTCGGAAAACCTCCCGCCTCGCTGATGGGCCGCGGGCCAGCGACGTGCCTGTTGGTAAATATTACCAGTGTCGGCTATGAGCGTGGCGCCAAGCGGAGCGGGTTTCTAAGGCGCCATGACAGACATCCGGCCGCTTTTCTGGGTTCCCTTCGTGCTGGTGGCCAGCGGGCCTCCCGCGCATGCCTGTAACCTTCCCAAAGGCCCCCACCCCAGGCTGACGGCGGGGTAGGTGGGGATGCTGCTGCTCCGAGGAGCAGGCCTGGCTCCCTGTGGCTGCCATGGCTAACCCCGTCTCCTCCCTGCTTAAGGCTGCAGAGTCCTCCCTCCCCCACCCCCGCGCCGGGCCTCCTGGGGGGAGGGCGACTCCTCCCCCTGACCACCAGGGCCTGTGATGCCGCATCCCGCCTGCCCCCACCGCCCTTGTCCGGGGCATCCTGCCTGCCCCCACCGCCCTTGTCCGGGCCATCCCTTCCATCCCGAACGTCCTCCAATGCCTGGCCTGAGACAAGCCGGGGACTCGGCTCCCCTCCCCAGGGAAGTCTCCCAGGACTGCCCCAGCCTGGGCTGCGTCCCAGTGTCTCAGGCTGTGCTGTGACCCCTGTTACCACAGGGCGGCTCTAGGTCACTGATCATGTCTCAGTCAGTGTCCTGTGCTGGGCACACACCAGGTGCCATCAACACCGACAGGAGGCTTCCCCTTCCAGGAGTTTCTCTACAGCTAAACAAGTAGCGGGGAGCCAGGTGCTAGAGAGGGGGCAACACGGGCAAAGCCACCACTTGGGACGCCTGCATCCCAGGTCAGAGGGCCTGGGTTCAAGTCCTGGCTCTGCTTCCAATTCCAGCCTCCTGCTGATGCCCTGGGAGGCAGCGGGCGACGGCTCAAGCACGTGGGTCCCTGCCACCCATGCGGGGACCCAGGTGGAGCTCCCAGCTCCTGGGCCAGTCCTGCCTGCTGCAGTCACTGGGGAGTGAAGCAGGAGGAAAGATTCTCCCTCTCCCTCCCCCTCTCTCTCCCCGTCTCCCTCCTCTCTCTCCCTCTCCCTCTCTGTCTCTGTCTCTCCTCCCTCTCTCTCTCCCCCTCCCTCTCTCTCTCCCCCTCTTCTCTCCCCCTCTCTCTCTCTCCCTCCCTCTCTCTCTCCCTCTCTCTCTCCCTCCCTCTCTCCTTCTCTCTCTCCCCTCCTTCTCTCCCTCTCCCTCTCTCTCTCCCCTCCCCTCTCTCTCTCCCCCCTCTTCTCTCCCCCTCCCCCCTCTCCCTCCTCTCTCTCCCTCTCCCTCTCTGTCTCTGTCTCTCCTCCCTCTCCCTCTCCCTCTCCCTCTCTCCCTCCCCCTCCCCCTCTCCCTTGATGCCTTTGCTTGTCCCCTCTCAGCCCTGACTCTCTGAGAGAGAGGATAAGCAGACCGACAGCGCCACCCACGGACCCGGCGTGCACAGGCGCTCGGTGACGGTGGCTGTTGCTCGCTAACTTGGGAGGTGTCAGGAAGCAGTGCCCCCCCCCAGTCAGGCACCGAGCACAGAGCGCTGCTGCAGCCCCGGGAGCTGGCTCTCTTCCTGGGAGAGGGCCGGGAAGCGGCCGCAGCCACCCTCCCGTCAGCTCCCGGGGTCACTGTCAGGGCTCCTCCGCTGTACTGCGGACCCTGGATGCCCAGGGCACCCCAGCTCTGAGATTACGTGGGAATAGATAACGGGGCGCTCTTCGATCTGGAATGCATTTAAAGCAGTGGGGGGTAAGAATCTGCTCCCCGCCACCCCCACCCCTGAGCCTCTGGTCCAGGCCGATCCTAAACATTCACGGATGTTGTCACCTAAGTAAGAAACAAGCCAGACGTAGCCTCTCCCAGCAATGACCCGAGCAGCTGGGCCGTGCCTGCACCGTGCTCCAAGCAGACACAGACGCACGGTGACGGCCTCTCGGGGGCTCACCAGGCCCTTGAAGGCCTCGCTGTTTGGGGGTGACGGCTGTATTGGGCCAGCACCTTTTTCTTTTCTTTTTTTTTGAAGTTACAGAGAGAATGGGGTGTGGGGAGAGATCCTGCAGCCCCAGGAGGCCTGTCTGGGTTGGAGGCTGAAGCCAGAAGCTCCATCTGGGTGTCCCATGTGGGTGCAGAGGCTCTAGCACTCGGGCCATCGTCCACGGCTCTCCCAGGTGCATTAGAAGGGAGCTGGACGGGAAGTGGAGCAGCCGGGACTCGAAGGAGCGCTCACATGGGATGCCGGTGGCGTTGCCGGCGGAGGCTTTTCCCGCTGCGCCCCAGCGCCGGCCCCGGGCCAGGTGTCTCCGGGGAGCAGGCTTTGCTGAGTGGCAGGCAGTGCCCTGCATGGAGGGCTGGGCTGCTGAGCCCCGGCTCTCTCCGAGGGCCTGGGAGGACAACTCCCTCTCCAATCTCCCTCTTCAACGCTGGGGAACTGAGGTCCAAGGTCACGAAACCGTTGGTGGGACAGTTGGGATGGGACCCGAGTCCTGTTCTGGTGCCTCACTGCCCAGCGGCGCTGAGCCCCTCACCTCGGCCACTTAGGAACCGACTCGGGGAAGTTTCTCAGCTGATTTGGCCTGTTACTTGACAAAGATTTCTAGAGGAAATTTCCCAAGTTGCACCCAAAATAACACGGACCCGTCTTTGGCCGCAGCAGTGCTGTTTCTGAGAGTGTACACCCAAGGGACAAGAGCTCGGCTGGGGGAAGGCGTGAGCACGGAGCTGTCCATTGCAGCATTGTTTATGGGAGCGGCAACCAGCAATGATGCAGACACCCCTCGGCAGACGGCATGCGTCTGGGGGTACATGCGCAAGGAGGTGGCAGGCCAGCTCTGAGAAGCACCCGTATTTGTAGTAACTAATAAAGAGGTCTATGCAGCCGGCGCCACGGCTCACTAGGCTAATCCTCCACCTGCGGCGCCGGCACACCGGGTTCTAGTCCCGGTCGGGGCGCCAGATTCTGTCCCGGTTGCCCCTCTTCCAGGCCAGCTCTCTGCTGTGGCCCAGGAGTGCAGTGGAGGATGGCCCAAGTGCTTGGGCCCTGCACCCCATGGGAGACAGGAGAAGCACCTGGCTCCTGCCTTCGGATCAGCGCGGTGCGCCGGTCGCAGTGCGCCAGCCGTGGCAGCCATTGGAGGGTGAACCAACAACAAAAAGGAAGACCTTTCTCTCTGTCTCTCTCTCACTATCCACTCTGCCTGTCAAAAAAATAAAAATCAAAAAAAAAAAATAAATAAAGAGGTCTATGCAATGAGGAAAAGAGCCAGCGAAACAAAAGGCTTGGATAACGACTGGGTGCACACACATGCACACACATGTACACACACATGCACACACACGCACACACACAGAGGAGGGTCCTCCCTCCACACCCACGGTCCAGAACCTGTCCCTGTGCCAGGAGCTCAGGGTTCCGGACTTGAGAGGGGACCAGGACACAAGCGGATGCCACTCTGGCCAGGGAAGCAGGGGACGCGGGGGGCCTCAGGGGGTGGGAGGGTTGCATGTCAGATCGGCGAAGACCTGGACGCCCACACTGGTTCATGGTGAGTCGGGGACAGAGCTTCCGGGTCAGCGAGCCCGGGGCTCCCAGCACCGCTGCGGGCCAGCAGCGTCCGTGCAGGACTCACTGGGCACTGCGGTCCCACGCCCACCCCTGGAGACGGGGGCCCCAGCACGTGGCAGACGCGCAGCAAACGCCAAACGGGAGGGGCGAGAGGGCAGCGCCGCTTCCCCCGACAGAGCTGGTGCCTGTGGCTCGGGAGACCCGAGGGCGAGCCTCGCCGGAACCGGGGCAGCTCGAGGGGGACCTTGCTCTCCGGCCCCCTTCCATCTGGGGCGGGGCCGCGGGGTGGGGCAGACACACCAGGGGCTTCGCAGTTCCGTGTGCGTTAAGCTGTCCATCGCCAAAGCCTTTTG